CAAAAAGCCTGGGGATAGGCTTGATCCCCCAGGGGCCCGGGCTCAGCCGGGCCGGGGGGGTTGACCCCCCGGGAAATCTCTCCAGGAAAAATCCAGGTAAACAGCAAAACCCCCCTAAAACAATAAAAACCCAAAAAAAGCCGCGGGAAAAAATAATCACTAAAAACCCATCCCGGGGAAACACCCCCCCACTCTTTTATAGATCTAAAAATTACTCCCCGTTCAGAACATCCACAAATTTTGCGGGGCAAATTTTTTCTACGGACCTTTTTAAAATTCCCAAAATTAACCCTTACCTAAAAAGCCCTTTTTTGATAGTTGTGAAAGGATCCACAGGGTTAAAACCGGGCACAAACATCTCTATGACATTCCCGTGTTCGAAATAAAACCCTTTTCAAAAAAATTTAATGTTTTTTCAAAGGACCTAAAAAACTGGAACACCCCACCTGAAAAAAATCTAGAACTGCAGAAAACATTCATCACTTTTAAAAATACAAATTAAAAAAACCTTTTTATCCCCCCTGAAAAACCCCCACAAACTAACTAAATGAAAACCCCCGGGGGGTTCCAATTACGCTCACTCACCCAGATTAAACCCAGAAATACCAATTTTTGATTTAAAATAATAAATCCTTTAAATAGGGCAAAAAAAAAAAAGTTTGCCCATGTTACTCCAATTTAGACACTTTGGGATTGGGGCCAAACAAAAGGGATTTTCCCTTGCTAAAAATCACAAAAAATTTTTAAAGTAGTCAAATTAGCCTTAATTTCCATAATCTGTAAAAGGTTTTTAAAGGTTTTCGGCCGCTGCAGGGGGGCAGTAACAGCAGGGGATTTCGAAGCTTTTGTACTTTTCCCCCAATATCAGAGCCCCCCAAAAGCTTTATGATGACCCAGTTACAAGCAAAACTGCAAATACCCCAACCCTAGCACCCAGAATGACCAAAGATTCCAACAGTGACCCTAAAAATCGAAAAAAATTTTGGAAAATCAAAAAAAAGACTGCTCTCGAACCCAAAGCAAACCCCCCTGCCCGCCCCAACAACGTAAAACCCCAAGGGTTTGTTAACTACAACTTTTAAATACAACAATTCTTAGTAATTTTGAGGCACAATCTCAAGGAAAAAAGCACCAAGGCCGCAAAAAAACACCCCAGAAATCAACTATTCAAAAAGTGGGGACCAGGAAGGGACGCCGGCCAGCAACCACCCCCAAACCCCCAAACCCCTTTAAAGGGGACACCAAAAACAAAAAACAAAAACATGGCTGCCACCCCGGGCCCTCCTCCCCCTTTCCCCGGATTCAACCTAAAAAAGTAATCTCTCAGGTAGGGCCAAAGATCCAAAATATCCTTTTAAATCATTTCATCTCCCCCTTTTTATTTGAAAAAATGAAATTTTTCGAGGAGACTAACAAAAAAGGGGCACCGGATGACACAAAATCGGGGAAAAAAAATCCTCAGTCTTTTAAAAAAAAGTTATCAACACCCGGAATGACTATGGCAAGACCATCCAAACATTCATAGATAGCCATACAGAAAAAATAATATCTCTTAATACAAAGGTTGGAAGCAGTAAAAGATGAAGAACAACTTAATAACAAGTTCAGTGACTGCTCTCCAAAAATAAAACAGACAAGTTTAAACTATCGGACGCAGTAATATTAACAGTCCACTTTTTCCAGTGAAAATGAACCAAACGAACAGTAAAGAAATTGCCCCAGATCATTAAAGACCAAACAAAAGTTACATTTACAAGAGTCAGAAATAAAGCAAGCCAGGTTACTAGGATCCCATGGTAGAAAAAGTGTTATGCTAAGATTCCACTCACATGACAGGAAAAAAAAATTAATAATTGCATCTATTAAAGTAAAGAAAGAGGTATACATAAACGAGTGTCTTCCCAAAAAACGCCAAAACCTCCTGTATAGAGTCAGAAAACTTAAGCGGGGAATAATGACACAATACACCAATGCTTCACACGTGATGGGAAAATTCTAGTTAGGAAAATAAGTGTAGGTCAACTGTACAAATCACGAACAAGAATGATCTATCACGATTTCTCAGGGATACTAATCTTACAGAGAATAACTAAACAAGTCCAACCTAAAAGCCTACGTAGTGTAGTGTATGTTTGCTCCTTATTGTTCAAATTTCATAGTACAATCTCTTAGTAATTAAATAATCAACTACCTCATTTTGTGATTTTACTAGTAAGCATAAGTCAAACCCTTTTGTAATTTTCTTATTTACTATTGTTTGCTTAAATATTACTGAATTTTTTTTTTTTTATTTTATTTAAAAAGTTTCATCACAGCGCATAAAAAACGAACAGACCTTATCCGTCAACAGATGTAATAAACTTTTCATGGCCATATAATACCACATACAAATATAAAAATTAACATCATGTAAAAAATAGTATCTAATGAAAACAAAAAACAATAACCAAATTAAGGAGAGTATTGGATACATACTTCCGTAAAAAACTACATCAAAAGTAAAACAGATTTCTTTACTATGACTTTAACGTATAAGGTACAAACTCAAAAGAGCACAGTTTTTCATACCGTAACCTTGCAAAACAAACCCCCCCCCCCTCCCCCGGGACGAACCCCCCCTACTGAGAAGTACAACATAAATTAGAACCACAAGAGTGCACAATAATTAATTTTAACCCAAACACTGTATAATCTGTCCAAAAGTATAAATTTTCAAACGTAAAATTTTTTTTTTTTTTAATTTTTTAAAAACGAAAGATACAAATGATAATGTATATTAAAAAACAAAAAAGAAAGCAGTTAAATTTTTACAATAATCCACCGCCCAACGATACCATACAAATAATGGTAATACACCTTACACACAAACAAAAGTATTGAAAATGGTTTTATACTCAGCACAACACTTATATACATTATTAAAGAACTGTCTAACAGTTTTATTAAAAAGGGCAAGCACACGGGGAAAAGTATATAGACATTTAAAAAAATTATTGTTTTAAAAAACCCCAAAACAACAAAACACACACACACAACACTCATACAAAACATAGACATGGGTATTAATGAACGACGACAAAAAAACACCCAAATATAAAAATACGATTTTATTTTACATCTAAACAAAAAATGTAATCAATTACGTAATTCAATATTCATGTATAGGAAAACAATCTATACAAAAACCCAAAGTTTGGTATACAAAATAAAAAAACAAAAATTTTAACGTTCTCACATACAAAATTTTTTTCATTTTTATTAAAGACATCAACATTGGGACATACATACAACCTGGGGAATACATACAAATGGGGCATACAACAACACGGAGCATACTACAACATTCACAAACACAAGACATTTTCACACAATTAAACGCCGTGACCAGCCCCTTTTTAATACCCACTGAAAGAACCAAATTATCTCAACTTTAATCTTTAAAGCCTAATGCGACGGGGAAAAAATTTTTTCCCCTCTCCCCCCATATACAATGATTTCGCACTTTGCTCTAAAAATTTTTCCCCTTAAAACCCGGGTTCTGCTATACCTTCAACAGGGCCTATAGCCCCTACACATAAAAATAATCGGCTCGAATACGCCTGCACGTTGTACACATATGTCAAACCCCACCCCCATCAAAACTCAAACCCCTAAGTACCGAAACCTCCTCCCCCTACCATTCGTAAAACCTGCTTAACCCCGCCGTCTAACCCAAAATTTTCCAGAAAACCAAAAATGAAACGCGATTCTTCCCCCCCGCACGCTGAACAACTCCGGTCCTCCTCTAACGCCCCATTAGACAAAACCACCTTGGGCGGCAGAATCCCCTGCAAAATTAAAAACCACTTCGCGTACTCGAGGAAAGGGGAAAGTAACGATGAACCCCCCTTCCCTATATCACACCCCGCATACATGGGGAACATTCCTGCTCCACCTCAACTTTCCCATCCCACTTTTCCAAAATATCAATTTAACGCTGCACGTCTCGCATGCACTAAACACG